CCAGCGAGCGGCAGCGTCCTCCAGCGTCCTGCACGTCCATGGATGGAGAGTATGGGGAGGAAGGAGATCAGCAGACAGCTAGTAGAGTGTGGGCAGACAGGAGGGGAGCAGACAGATTGTAGAAAATGGGGAGACAGGAGGCTAGCCGAGTGCTGGGGGTATGGAGAAGAAGAGGGTAACTGTCTGCTGCCCTCCTATCTCCCTATACTTTTCACTTCTGGACGCTGCTGGTTATTAGGTCGATATCTATACTTTCCTATTCGCTGACGAGCGCTCGAAAAGCGTCGGTGGTCGCTTCCGCAAAGTATGAACGCAGTCTTACACGTAAGCGCGGCAGCAGCTGAGCATCTGTGGCCGACTGCTGGTTAGAGCAGAGAGGGGTTAGCGTTGTACCGACATTTTTTGTTGGCACGCTGTTGCTTGTGAGTAACGCTATGAATTGATCCTACGATCCTGTGATCGAGTGATCCTACCTTTCTGATGCCCCTTATCCACTCCTGCCATCCACCAATAATCTTATCATCGCATCACCTACATCACTTTTCGGAACCAGCGTCCCTTGTTTAGTTTAACTGGCGCTATAAAACTCCAGTTTTTTACCTGAAGTTACTGATTACAGTATGGAAGGCACAATCGTGAACTTGCCGGAATTCATTCGAATCAAAAAGAAGTACAATGCCTATTTATTCTTGGATGAGGCGCACAGCGTTGGTATGATTGATCGTGTATATTTGCGTGTTTTATTCGAAGAAATGTGAGCTTACTAATTTGAGCACTGTGGTGTTTTAGGTGCCCTAGGACCAACTGGCAAAGGCGTAGTGGAGTACTGGGGGTGCAACGCGCGAGATGTAGATGTAATGATGGGAACGTTGACTAAGAGTTTTGCGGCAGCCGGAGGGTACATGGGTGGAACGAAGGTGAGTATTGCCCTCATTTCTTTACTGTTCACATTCACGCGCGTATACCAGTAGACTTAAAAAACATTTCAGGCTGTGATTGATCATATACGTCGATATTCGGCCGGTCCTTGCTATGGAGCTGCAATGTCTCCTCCAATAATTGCTCAGGTTTTGAGCAGTATGAAGGTATGGGGGCTTGTTACTGTGAAGGTAGTGGGGGAGAAAAATCACTGGTGGCGCGCAGGCGACGCGTGCTGAGCGGTATCGCTGCGATGGAGCGGCGAAGGAGTGGAATCTGACAGGCGCTCCCATCACGATTCGGTAGATCAACTCTTAGTGGGTCCACGTTCGGCTTCAGTCAGTAGCGCCGAAGCGCGTGGTGGTAAATACAACAGGTAATCGCGGTGGATTCAGCATATCTCTCAAGAAATATTCCACTTATCCCTGGGATACGCTTTTCAGCTGTGTTTGCCACTCATCGACGATGTGAGAAAGTTCATTTAAGACTGCAGTGATGGGAGCGCCTGTCAGATTCCACTGCTTCGCCGCTCCATTGCAGCGACACCGCAACCGCTGCAGTGGTACAACGCAGACGTTTACTTCCTTTACGCCGCGTAAGCGCAGGGGCGGCAGTAAGCACGCGACGCAGCTGCTCGCCGCTGGC